ACTTTATGCATCAAAGTCTTATTCAAATTCACTTGCCTTGTCTCCTTGAATGAAGACATCAAAAACTCTCATTCCTTTAGGACCATTGGTGTTTACTATTTCTGCGAAATGAAGATCAACCAAATAGTCACCCGGGGAAAAATCATTGAAGCGATAAGTGAAGTTTCCAAAACGTGCCGATTGATAAATCGATGGAATATCGCCGCCATCATTTATGCTTTCACCGGTTCTCAAGACATCCCCTCCTTCGAAAAAGCTATCACCACAAACATCGATTGTGCGCGTTCCTTCTTTCTTTACAGTCCCACCTCCAGCATTTAAAAACATTACAGCATTGTCTGGATCAAAACAAAACAGTGAATTCTACATTTAAATTAATAATAAATCTTTTTTGAATTCAACCGTTATCCACATGCGAGAATCCTCCCTAAACAGTAATTTAAAAATAAAAAAGAGAACTAAACAAAAAGAATTTTGAAGTTTTATCTTCTTCCTGTTTTACAGCAACTAACTGACAATTTTAGCAAATTGATATGAAAAGAAATTCTAAAGATCTAGAGATTCTTGGTTTCGCATATTAACTTGCATTTTCTTCATTGCAGCCAAAGAGAATCAAAAGACAAAAATGAACATTAAACTCGGACTAAGGTACATAAAGAAACAAGAATTGACGAAAAGGAGAATGAGTGTAAATTAGAAAAAGAAAAAAACCTGTGTTTTGGGAGCTTATACAACCAGATTTAATCAATCTTGAACCAGAAATGCACAGTGCTGAATCGAATTCATCTTCGTGTACATTGTCGTATTCAGTATTCATGTTATTTTCGGGATTTTCTTCGCAGTTTGAGAAACTGCAAGGCCTAGAATTTGGGCTTAGGAATTTGGAGTGTTCGAGATAAGAGTTAGGGAATCGAGATTCCGCCATGACGGAGAGCGACCAACAAAAAGAGAGGGAAGGAACTCGCAGTGTCGCAGAGGAGCTGTTTTTTGAATCTTGCTTTGTTTCTTGTTCTCTGCTTTTGACTTGTGCCGACTACTCTAAGTTGTAAGAGATCATTGCCTTAATTGCTTCGAAATTTAAATTTGCTAAACGGCATTTGAATTTTAACTTTGTAGGCCGTTACTCTTTCACTTGAGGCCTTGAGGCTCCTGGTGGGTCACATTGTGGGCCGGCTCCTGAGATATTCTCCGATCGATGGGTGGTCCAAAATGATTATCCTATTTCCATTTTTCTTGGTTAAACTCTTGCTTCAAACTTGATCCAGCCCAAGAACGTAGAACTCAAACCAAGAGCTATTAAAAATGATTTTGTCCAAATGTCACGATTTTTATATTAAAAATAAATAAATAAATTTAAATTCATAAATAAAAACTTACTTTCATATATCTTTTAGATTGAATATGTGAAATGAAAACATGAACTCGTAATAAATAATATCAAAACAGATTTAATTCTTTATTAATATGAAACCCCTTATAAAAAATATTAAAATTAAAATAAATTTGAATCAAAGTATAATATCTCTATTCTATGAGTAAAAGAGATTGCACGATTGATTCAATTAAACAATACTATGAAAGTGTTTCATAATTAAATGAAATAAAATATTACGAATCTTATATCGATAAAAAGATAAGATAATGTGAATATTAGATTTATAAATAAAAACCTACCTTTGCTTAACAAAAGAATGCTTACTTTTCTAAAGTATGTTATTATGTCATGAAGCCACCAATATACATATAGAAGGGTTCATATTGGTCAAGGAGAATGTACATGACCAATTGACGAAACGTACAAGACCAAGAACTCGGGCCCGACCGTGATTTCCATGATAGTAAGAACTTGAGACTTCAAATGGGTGCCTTACTGCCTCCGGTTGAAATGTGCAAGTTTTCTTGGTTCCTGATCACGAGTTGCCACAGGCACCTAAGCAGTCAGTATCTCACAAGGTAAAGGTCTTCCCGGAGTTTGAGAACTCACCAGAGTTTAAATCCTATACTCCAAATGCAAGAACAAACCATCTAAGAAATCTTATACAACACCACGTGTTCTAATTACTACCCTACACCAAAGCTGAACGACCTCAAATCATCTTCATATTTTTTCCCCATTCTTTTGGTTATAAAGTCAATATCAGATGCTAACGTCTAAAGTAAATCTTGCCCCTTGCATCATCCTTGATAATATTGTTAAGGCTATCAGGAAAGTCAACAGGCCACAAGACTGCATCACTTTCCCTGAGAACCATCCTTGAAAGATGATCAGCTGCTTTATTAGTTTCCCGCCATGAATGAGTAACCCCATAATTGTCAAACTTAGTTAGAAGCTTCCAGATTTGCTTCAAACAGCGACTACACTTTGCACCATAACACTGCTCTCGGTTAATGGTTTTCACAACGCTCATCGAATCAGATTCAACCCATATTACTTTAATACCTAAACCTGAAGCAAGAACAAGACCCCTCCAAATTGCCCATAGTTCAACCAAGAAAATATCATCTTGAGGAGCTTTAGAGACAAAAGCACATAACGGATCACCCTTATAATCGCGAAGCAAACCACCAAAACCTGCATTTTCTGGATCTACAGATCCATCTGTATTTAATTTTATGCATCCTATCTTTGGCTTCTTCCATCTACACCATCTAATTGACCTGGTGACAGGATTTAGAAGGCTTTCAATGTTCAGGTTTCTGAGAAAAACAACCCTCCCAGCTTTCTTTGACACTGAAGATAACTTACAAGTGGCCCTCAATGCCAGTGCGTCTGCTCTGAGCTCATCTTCCTTGGTTTTGTGTTTCTTCCCTCGAAAGTGTTTCTTTAAACATTTTTCACTTGAAGCACTTATCAGACAAAGTACACAGCTCCATTCCTTTTGAACTCTCTTTGGATTGGTTAACCAAGTAGAATTCACCTCTTTTTTGTCAGAACTACGATCAAAATTTCCCTGGCATAGAGAAACACAAAAAGGAAAAGGAATTCCATATGAACTCATGACAACCTGATTTAATCAAAATCAAGCTGACGACTGACAAACAAACTATGAAACTCCTATGAATTAAAGAAGGAAGTTGATAAGGACTGGGAAAAAAATCTTTGCGTCCTTTTCCCAATTCAGTAATTTATTAGCACATTTTTACATAGAACTTCCCTTTGCAGATGCCCAGTGTTGTGATTTGTTGAGCTTATGATCTATCCTAAAATCATCAATGTATAAACCTACCTCGCCATTGATAATTAGTTTCTCCAATTTTGGCCCGTTCTTGAGTCTGCTTGTATCAGCATCATCAAGGATGCCATTCTGTGCTTCGGATACGATGTCCTTCTTCTTTGGCAAGAACAGGATGTACCATATTTTCTCACTAAAATAAGGTCTGATTAAATGCTTGAAGACATAAGAAGCACCACCAAAGTAAGGCGTGACCAGCAATATGGTGGCAACACCCTTTGCATAGGGCCAAAAAGGAAACCTGCCATGATAAAAACAAAACCCAAGCACAAAATTCAGTGAGAAAATTCTAGCAAACACCAAGACCAACATATGCAAACATGGACGCTAGTGGCAGGTTTCAACTCTTACTAGTTCCATCAAATTATATAATAAGCTCATAAATTTCCAAGTTGAACTACAAAAACAAAGCCAAAACATGATTAAACAATGTAAACTACCAATCGCAACTCTAAAAGCCCAAATTACCAATTCAAAAACTTCCCAAGCGTCAGCTCCACCATTGTGATCAAAGCAAACAGAACCCAGTATGTCAGACATTGCTGACTTTTGAAGGAAGAATTATTCTCCACCGTCCGAATTGAAACATATCTGCAATTTAAACAGGAAAAAAAGAAGAAGAGAAAATCATCTGCACAGATGCTAAATCCCACTCAATATAGAAATAAAACCCGCATTCAGTATATCAAGATGTAATGAGAAAAATCAAGACGATAGCTACTCACAAGGGATAAATTAAAGTGAATGAAGGCCTGCAGATCGATACGAATTTAATAAAGCATCGGTTAGAGAATCTGAGGCAAATACTTAATAAGCTTTGGAGAAAGCTTAAATCAGAAAAGTAATCAAATCTAGCATCTTATCGCATTACAGAAAGTTTAAAGACAATAAAAAATTGACAAAGAGAAAACAGAGAAAAAGAGAAGAAAACACCAATTGCGTACCAACAGAGAACAGTTAAGATACTTGCTAAGAGCTCGAGAAAAACTTTGCAAATACCCATTTGTTCAACTTCACTTCTGGATGTTCTCTTTCGCTCCTTTTCAGCATTTTGAAGAGGTAGAGCCTAAGAAATTTCCTTTTACTGACATTTTTTGAAGTGGGTTTTTCGGTTTACGAGAGAACAGAGTTGGGGAAAACTGGTAGTCGATTGTGGTCAAACCAAATTAAAATAAAATATCGGGTTTGGTGGAAAAGTGTTACCCGCCGAAGTGAGGACCAATCGTCAATCGAATTAGCCGCGGCGATGCTGAGTTCAAGCGTTCTCATTTGAGTCGCATGATCAGACAGATATTCAGGTATATCAACTACGTTAGTTGAAGCATTGACCAAAGCATGTTCGCTCGCAAAGATGAACACTGGTAATTTTTATGGTCGTTTCTTAAGGAAAGGGCAAGTGCACCGTAAGAAGATGTACTCTTCTCCTTTGGATCACGGGAAGATATATCAGTGTTTAATTTTTTAAAGAAGGAAATAAAAATTGGATAATTAGTTACTGCAACGTGATTAAAATGTACTAAAATGCTAAACAAAAAGAGTATGTAAGTTGCACAACAAGCTTTAATTAAACCATGATCTTACTTCTTTATTTGAATTAACGCTTTTATCTAATATTAAACGCCATATTCTTGTTTTTGTCTTTAAATTAGTGACTTTGCCTGTTGAACAAGGAAGCATTTTCCATGATACTGACTAGACTACGGCCTTAGAAGGTGTACATGTATAATACTAATACAATTTTTAGCTTAAGCTCGTTTTTACGGGTAGTGATCAAAAAAAAGTTTCAGCTAATCTTGCAAACAACTAATAAAATTACAAACCATCGCAGTAAGATTAGGGCATAAACCCAAAATAAAAAAGAAGGTATAAAGCTTCATCAAGGAGAAGTGTAGAATATAAGATAAGCCAGGATGTGAACTTTTGGATGGAAAGTCTACCGGAATTGGTTGCTCTGTGAGACTTATTTACTAATACATGGTGCCAAGTTCCACCAGCAAATTCATGCCGTGCACCAATAACAAGACACCCTATTCAAACTACTTATTGACTAGAGAGATGTTGAGCATCAAGCACCACCCAATAATGCACCAGAGCTCCTGCGGCATTCCTGCAGCATATCCATGTAGAATTGGCATTTGCTGATATCACTTCCATAGCTGCTCAGACACTGCAAGCAAAATAAGAAGCATTAGTCTGGAAAGTAGAATTAAAATGCACAACAACCAGCAAACTTTACTCTCAACATGCAGGAGCATCACTCAAAACCAAGGACTATTAGATGAAAAACACATGGGATGAAAAGATTCATACATCACTTAGAGCTTTGGATTGACTGCCACAAGCATCAGAGTTTGCAAGACTGTTCATGTTTGGTGCAGGAGCAGCAGCAGCTGGTTCTGATGAAGCAACAGTCTCGTGTTTGACGACCCGAGGGCCAAAAATGGAATCAACAGCCCTGTGAGCCATAGCAGTGCCAGTACCCCATGCCAAACCTACACATAGACAAAGAAGAAAAATAAAAACAGTCCATTGAATGTCAATAGCCTATAAAAAAATTACTAATACTAACAAAAAATAGCTTTTGACTAACCATCTGCAATAGTAGCACCAATTCCTCCGGCCACAGATCCACTTCCACCAAGCCCAGGTGCTGGTGGAGGGGCAGAAGCAGCTGCAACAAACAATAACCAATTTATTTTACCAAAGTAAATAAACATCACTTCATAAAAAACACTATAAAAACAATATTTCAAAAAAATTCACTTGAAATACCAAATTCTAAGCAAATTAAAATGGATATGCTCTACTAATTCGCCATCTCTTCACCCCTGTTCTTATTGAATTTCCTTAATAAATAATTAATTAGCGAGAGAAATAAGCACTACGGATGAAGTTATTTATTGAGTGCAGTCCTCGTGATATGGAAAAGATATTACATCAATAAAATAAAAATTACCAGGTTGCAGCGGAGGATTATGGGATGGTGCAGAGGCAGCAGGGCGTGGAGCTGACCTTCCTGCAAAATCAAAATTTCTGCTTAAGATCACCGTCTGTGTCAATTACAGTGCTACAACTACTGGAAAAAGGGGGAATGATGCAAACAATAAGTCAAAAATCAAATGAAAAATGCAATGTGCGTCCAATGTCCGCAAAAATTGATTCTCTTAAAGAATATTACCAAAATTTCACAACCGCTAATGCATAACAACGGGTATAAATCACCCCAGTTTACAGCTCTCCCTGCACCTTTTGAATCCCCCTTCCCCCAAATGAACACGAAATCAACACAAATATGAAGCTAAAAGCAAAACTAGCCTAAACCAAACGAAATACCTAACTCTTATCTTTTGTATCATGACAAAACTTACTTAATCAAATAAATTTGTCAGAGAAAACTCCTAAACGAAGAGATGGAATACTAAGAAGCGATTATTCATCAAAAATAGGGACTCTTAAATGTAAATGCACGGGAATTATAGCATAAATCATAACAATACAATGAAAATTTCCATTTCTCTTTTCTTAAACGAAAAACTAATGGATCGCAGAAAAAGGAAACATCGTGAGGAGAAACTAAACGGGAATCAAATAACTATGGCTAAGACCGAGTCATATTCGGGTCGAGTTCTCACCTGCAGAATTTCGGCGAGGCATTGTTTCGAAGCTGGTAATTAGAAGAATTCGAATAGGAAGAGCTTAAACACTAACAGAGGAAGTGGGTTTCACAGGCATAAAATTGTACGCTGGGTAGAGGTTGCGAAAATTTGAAGGGAGCATATATATAGGCTGCTGTGGCACAATGCGATTGTTGCTTGGCCAATAAGTTGGGTTTTCCCGGGCCCGTTTCTGACCACATTTCTAGGACTCGCACCTTCTTCTGGAATGTTCCTGCTATTGATCAGCTGGGAATTTAGAATGTTCATGGGTCAAAAATATAAGCCCATCCTTGCTTTCAAGTCAGATTTTGCTTAACCCCAAATCATTTCAATAGATTTTCGGTTAATGGTGCACAGATGTATTTTTTAATTAAATTATATATTCAATTTCTATATGTTAAAAAAATATAAATTTAATCTTTTTATAATAATTTATGTAAATCAAATTTTTATATTTTTTAACCGAAATTAATGCTGTTAAATTTATTTCATTAAATACGTTAATATAATATTTTAATTAAATTAATGTGATATTGATTATATATTAACTAAACATAATCATGATGATAAAGTATTAATTGAATTATCGAATTTATATTAATGTTACACTTAATGACATGATGAAAATTTTAATGGACAAAACCTTCAAATTTTAATCTAAAACACTCTAACCCTAATTAAATGAAATTAACAAAAAAAAAAAAAACAGGAAAAAACAAACCTAACAACCGAATTAAAATTGAGTCATTTGACTCATCTCACAAAATGCTAGAATTTGATGTTTCAATCTCTTTTCTAATATTGTAAGAATATCTCATTGACAAAACCCAATATTCAATATTTCTTTTTATTAAGATTGAGCTTTACCTGAGATTGGGTAAAGAAGTAAAGATAAATGTAACGCATTTTCCCTGCATTATTCTAACCTCTCCATGGTTGATGTTTACTGGGTTTTGATGATTCGTGATATTATGGTTGTTTGGATTTCTTCTGTTATGCTTGTGCACTCACTATTTTGGAATCGTTGTGATAGTTGCAAGGCTGGCCTTTTTCTTCTTTCTGGTGTGCTTGGGCCTCTAGTTGTCTTTTGCAGATTTCCTGGTCCTGTTTATGGTCTTCTTCTCTCTTTTTTTTTTTTCTCTTTTAATGTTTTATTAATTTTATTTAATTTAAGATTAAAGTGTTTTGAGTTAAAATATGGAGGATTTTTGTCTATTCATATTTATATCAACATTTCACCATATAGTATAAACTTGTTGTTAATCCCACCAATGCCATTTCATTATGATTATATTACGTCAACAAAATAGTTAACCAACTTAATTAAAATATCACTTTAATATATTGAAAATTTAATAGTGTTAGTTTTAGATTAAAATTAACAAATTGAAAAAGTATAAAGATTTAATTTAAAAAAATTACATGAAGCCTAAATTCACATAATTATATAATATAATTTTTTTTTCTTTTGTACAAGCAATTTCATTTATATTCTTTGTGTATATCCTTATACCAATTATACTCTTTCCATATTGTACTTAAGAGCAAAATTCTCCTTGTAAAAATATCTTTGCTATAACTTGTAAGAGAGAAAAAAACATTAAAAGATAGAATTTAGAGATTGTGGCCAATCTTTGAAAGATATAAAGATTAAATCTTGGCCTTAAAAATATTGTTGAAAAGGTTATATTTAAACCTTTTAAAAAGCATTTGTTCACAATGGATTAAACTCCTTAACTTGTTAAGAATTTTTGAAAGTTTGTTTACAACTTACTTATTTGTTGATTTGTGTATCAAATTACTTTTGATATATTTTAAAGTGAAAATAAATTTGAGAACCTTATATTCAAATTTACCTTTATTAAATATTAAATTTATTAAACTTATTTTTAAATTAAATTCACCCTCCTTTTGATATTCCTAGGTTATTATTGAGTTAATATTTCTATCACTATTATTTAATTATATTTAATTATAAAAGGTTCTATTATTTATTTGTTTTACAATTAAAGGTCTCTAAAATATAACCTCTCTTTGGTGTGTGTATATACACTATATAAGCTCTAGATGTTATACAAGACATTCTATAAAGAGCAAAATGGCAAATAATTGAATTGCGTGTTTGGTACCACAAGACTTCTGCTCCAAAACAATACACTCATAGACGGACCATCGTTTCCGCCCGTAGCCAAACAGAGCCAGTAGTTTCAAAATCCTTCACTGGCTCCTCCCCCCCTCTCCTCTTCTTCAGTCAACTTTTCTTCCTTACAATGTCGTTCCCCGCCACGTCGTCGTTCCGTTCCGTTCTCTCCCGTTGCCGAACCTACTCCCTCCTCAACTCCAATTCAGCTAAGCTTCACTATCTCATCTCAATGTCACTCCCTCAAAACCGTTCTCCATTCCCCCGGAATCTCAATCTCAATCTCACCCGTAGTATCACCAAAGTTCCACGCAATAACTCCCCCATCATCCGCCCTAATCTCATAGTTCGCGCCTCAAGCAAAACTCCGAACCCCGATCCTGATGCTAAACTACTCACAATCACCTCCGCGGTGACTGTCGCATTAGCCGTTGCTAATCGCGTTCTCTACAAGCTCGCACTCGTTCCCATGAAAGAATACCCTTTCTTTTTAGCTCAACTTACCACTTTTGGGTAAACCTTTTTCCTATTCTTTTCTACTTCAATTTATTTTTAATTTCTTCTAAGAGAAAAAAATTTAAAATTAATTTGAAAAATGTAGGTACGTGGTGATTTATTTTTCGATTCTGTTTGTCCGATACCGGGCGGGGATTGTGACTAATGAAATGTTAGGGTTGCCTAAATCACGATTCATAGCCATTGGTATTCTAGAAGCTCTTGGAGTCGCCAGTGGAATGGCTTCCGCAGGTGCAAACTTTTTGAACCGTTGATTAGAATTTTAGATCTGTAAATTTACAATGTTAATTACAAAAGAGCTGCTCAAGAATTCATTTTTATGAATTGAGATGCAAAAAATGCAATTCTATAATGTTTTGTTTTGAAGACTTTTGCTTTTGGCTAATTTTTTCATTTACCGTTTATTTATTTTTTAATCTCTACAGCAATGCTTCCAGGACCGGCCATTCCGATACTGAATCAGGTTTTATTTCCCATCCTTTTTTCCTGTGATAGAATATGCCTGCCGTAAATCTACTTGTTCGGAAATGTAAAGGATTATGCAAAAGAATTTCCCTTATTGAATTTAAGATTAAACATTCATAGTTAATTTATGTGATGTTTAACAATATAATTTATTCTCGGAAAAAGGAATTGAAATTGTAATTTTATTATTTTGTAGACCTTTTTAGTGTGGCAGCTAGCGTTTTCAACCATTCTATTGGGGAGGAAGTATACGATTAACCAAATCGCCGGCTGCTTGCTTGTAGCAATAGGTGTAGTGGTGGCTGTTGCAAGGTATGTTATCTTTTCTACTTTGTTGCTAAGAACCCTAGCTGTGGGTTTGTTGAAGTATTTCAATCTCATGTAGGTTGCCACAATGCAAAGTGGTAGAACAGCTTCTAGTATATATCTCATAAGAGGCACTGCCAGTAACTATTTGGCGCTTAAGATTGAAAAATAATATTTATTTCTTTAATTTCTTTTTCTTTATTTGAAATGGTCTGTATATATTTTTATTGAGCAGAAATTAACCTACTAATGGACACTTGGTATGTTATTGTAATATTGTTGACACAAATTTCCCTAATACCTTAAGCTACTGAAAAGGAAATGACTGTACAAATCTTCCAATTAGCATAATTAATTTTCTTGCACTTTGGCATAGCAGCTCAAAATGCCTGAGGTGAACCTCAAGATTTTGATTTTGGAATAAAGGAAATCTTTGTTACTTGTAGGAGTCATTATCTGACTTGGCTGCCAAACACAAGTGAAAAGGTTCACTTCTTAAATAAGAGCACTTTTTGTGAAAGTGCTGAAGGTTAGGAAAGTACATAAATTCTGTTAGGGCACTGCTTCGTCAAGACTATTGCAGAAATGTAGCTGAAATCAATACTATTATTCTTGTCACATTGAGGATTTGAGTTCCCCATATAGACATTTATGATTTATTATAGCTACTTGCATTAGGGTAAGATCTGATGGTAGTTTGAATCTTTTGTAATTGTAGTGGTTCTGATACTGACCAGATGCTCTCTGGAGTTGAGCTTATGTGGCCAGGAGTGATGATAGCATCAGCAGCTTTTCAAGCTGGTGCATCTATTATTAAGGTTCAAGCAATTCCTATCTTTCATAATTTCTAATGGAATTGTATGAGCAAAAGGTCAACAACATTTTTATCTGTCTTCAAACAGGAATTTGTTTTTATTGATGCTGCAAAGCGACTCAAGGTATGCCCTTTCTGCCACTAGCTTTCCATATTAGGTTGGCATGTTTATTTTCTTATTTATGCTCAAACTTTACCATCAATTCATGCGCAGGGGAAGTCACTTGATATATTTGTTGTCAATTCATTTGGATCTGGATTTCAGGTATGTTTCATGTAGTGCTATAAAATCTTGTGTTTATTTTATAGTCCTATTGATGCATGCTGTATGGTTCTTCATTTATACAAATAATTGAACCAATCTTGCTCAAATACCATCTTAGGAATGTTTTTGATGGGGCCACTCTAATGGTACAACAATGGATTTATTTTCTGCCTTATCTAAGTTTGATAGGGTGATTTTAATGTTTCTATTAATTTTTCCATATTTACAGTAACTTACCATGAAAGATAACCAAGCACTATCCATGCTCTTCCCTTCTTTAAACTAAAAAAGGAAATTGAAAGGGAAAAGTATTCCCACCTGGAAAAAGTTCATTTAGTGCAGATCTTAGATAGTTCAAAAATCCAGAGCAATTCTGAACCTGATTCAACTGCTCTATGCATCAAGTTTAGTGATAATGGATGTTCATTACTAAAAAAATGGTTCTCAAATCGAACAGATATCTTAGATTTTAAGCTGTTACAATCTTCATCAAGTATCTTTAACATTTTGTAATTTCAATTTATGCTTGTTGACCATGGGACCTTAATACTGGATTTTAACATGTTTTATGTTGAATTTTGATGTTTCCTTGAACTTGTAGGCTCTCTTTGTGCTTCTTTTGCTGCCTTTTCTGTCAAATTTGAAAGGCATACCATTTTCAGAACTTCCTTCATATTTAAAAAGTGGGGCTGCATGCTTTCTGAAAACTGGAGCTGGTACATCAGGCAAGTTCTTACATTTTAGTTAATGCAATGATGGATGTATTGCTTTTTTTGTTTTAAACCCTATTCCTGTAGATTTTTTTGGTAAGATACAAAAACTTCTAAACTCAGCACTATAGGATTTGGATTGTGAATAAGCAGCTTGATGTAAATTCTAAATCTGAGCAGTAATTGGCCCTTCGCACCACAAAGTTACCATCTAGCTTCATCTTTTACATATTTCAGACTTAGTTATTGAATCAAAATCTAGTATTTCACCAATTTCCATCCTATCTGCTTTCACTGTAAGTGCCCCAGTATTGGACTTGACAATAGTTAAGGCAATTCACTTAAGTTGAAGTGATATTAACATCTCTATTGGTGCATAAAATTTCAGGACTTGAATAATATGTTTTTCCGCGAACTGTTTTCCTTCAAGATGTAGTTCTCTTCATTACTAGACTCTAGGTTTCTTTGAACTATGCACTTAAAAGTAGGAAGAATTTTTAGCCAGTGGCTCTGTATTGGAACTCCCGTTAATGCTATAAAATGATTGATATCCCTGTTCAAGGTTTTTTGCATTCATGCTGCGAACACTTTCATTTGTCAATCAATTTCCTCCTAGTAACTTAGATTCACCATAAAATTTGGTTATAACAAGTTGCATTTGGCAATCCAGGTTGTGAGGGGGCTCCACTGCTGCCATTACTTTACATAGTTATTAACATGGTGTTCAACATATCGGTGCTCAATCTATTGAAAATATCCTCAGCCGTTATTTCTTCACTCGCTGTAACATTGGCAGGTCAACTCTCTCTCTCTCTCTCACATGTCACATTAATGGAATGATTACGTGCTTGCATGCATAGTCATAGCATGTACCTTGCTGAACGTGTATTTTGTACCATGTAAACAAATCTATTTTATGCCATTTGAAATGCATTTTACTAATGGATCCCTTTTCTGGTTCACTTTGCAGTGCCTATTTCGATTTACATTCTCTCCCTTCCTTTGCCTTATCTCCCCGAGGGTGCAAGCTTAAGCCCCTTCTTCCTGTTTGGTACCTTAATACTTGTGTCAGGTCTTGTTCTATACAACATAGCCCAACCTGTTATGGAGGACTCAAAAAGAGCTTGATCTTACTACTAAATAAGAAGGGCATCAGAGATTTCAACGTCACACTGGTTCCATCGTATATACTATGATTCATCATGTTAAAGATTATAACCTTATCGGCCATTTTTCACCATCGAGGGACAGAGTCTTCTGGAAAGTGAAAGTGCCAAGTCATTGTAATGTATGATCTCGTTCATTCTGGAAAGTCACAGTGCCAAGTCATTGTAATGTATGACCTCGTTCATACACCTTAGTATCCCACGGCCTTGAGGCCTT